TTTTTTTTTTAATAAAGAAAAAGAGTTTAATTTGATGTTGCTAATTTACAGTTATTGTGGGTGGTTCTGATTGGATTAATCTTTGCCCTCTTAATTCAATCTCTTGCGGCTAATCTAGGAGTAAGCACAGGTAATTAATTTAGACTACAAAAAATAATAAAACCGATAATGCCTCAATCAAATTAAATGGTTGACGTGAGATTGCTAAAAATTTTCATTTTCATTAATTTTTAGGCAAACATCTAGCTGAGGTATGTAAGGCTGAATATCCAAGATACCTACGGTATTGCCTATGGTTGCTAGCAGAGCTTGCAGTGATAGCTGCTGATTTACCAGAAGGTCTTTTTTTTAGTTTATGATGTAATTATTTCAGCAGTTTCTCTCTCTCTTCTTTCTTTCTTATTCTTCTTTCCCTTTATTTTTATTTTTATTTTTATTTTTATTTTTGTGTGTGTGTGAGTTTTGTAGTTTTAAACGATACCCTCTTCATTCATGAATTGTTTATATTATGCAATTCAATAAGATTCAAATTGCATAACATTTTTATCTTATTTTTTTAAAAGTAACAACAATTTAGTTAAAAATAAACAATTCATGCTAAAATTAAAATATTTATAAAAAATTACCTTCTTATAATATATAACTACCCCTGTAGCTTTAATTTTATTTCTATCAATATTGATAATTTTTTTAGATGAATCCTATCAATATTGATAATTAATTAATATAACAAAAGCGGGAGAATAAACGAATTTGATTTTTTTGTTTTTTAATGATTTGTGACAGTAATTGGGACAGCCTTTGCATTGAACATTTTGTTCAAACTCAAATTATGGATTGGAGTCCTCTGCACAGGCTTCAGCACTCTCTTGCTTCTTGGTCTACAAAGATACGGGGTAATTTTTATTTTAGCGGCAAAGAAATTAAATTTGCATTAAACTGTTTTTTATTAACAATATTAAATTAAAGAAAGTGAAAATTAAGATATTTTAGCATTTAAAATATAAGAACTTTTTGTAATATTATTCAAATACCTCTTAGTAAATTTTTTGTGTGTTGATTTATTAAGGATATTTTAATTTTTTACATTATTAATCTTAATATTTTAATTATTAGAACGTCTTGATTTTTCTCAATCTTTTAAATTAAACTTTGTCCTTTTAATACTAAATACTACTATTAATCCAAAATAGACAATTATATACAAATAAAAATTTATAAAAGTTAACAT